CTTTCCTCTCCACACACACTTTTCCTCCTGCCATCTCACCCAAACCTTCTCTCACCCACCCCCCCTCCCCGGGATACGTTGACAGGTAGGTTCTATCAATCAAGCCAAACTCGCTCCCGTCACATCGGTTCGCCTCTACATCACATTAAATTTGCCAAGGAAAGGGATCACTTTCCCCTCTTTTCCTTTGTATTCAAACCAAAGCTTCTAAGTACATCTGCAACCTACAGTAGTTAGAATAATTAGAATATTATGTTGTGTCTGTTCTGTTTGCTTGATATTCTCTCTCTCTCTCTTCTCTCTCTCTCTCTCTCTCTCTCTCTCTCTCTCTCTCTTTCAAAACTTTTTATCAAAATGAAATTTGACAAGTAGGGCCAGCAAACAAAATAGGAAACCTGTTAACTCTTCCAGTACATAAGGAAGGGTGCTACCTTAATTAAAACGGCTATAATTGAGTCGAACATAGGCTTACTCAAACTACATGTTGCATTCACAATTGGACAGATAGTTGCAATATATGGGTGAAAATAGGAGGCAAAAGACCTTGGGGTTGATGAAATCGGTACAGCTAAAACGCCACTTCAGTGACAATCTACTGAAACGCGAAACCAAAAACGCCAATTTTTAAAGAATTATAATCATTATAATGCAACTAATGAAAAAAGGACGTTTCAACCAATGATATTAAAACGCAACCAACAAAAAGATGTTTTTTTATTAGTAAGAGTTTTACGGCACCTGCAACACAATAAGGTCATTTAAGTGCCCAAGAATAAGATCTATTCCATATTGAATTTTCCAATTTTAATACCTTTGAAAGACATAAAATGATGGTTTAGGTGAGAAAAGTTTTATAATAATAATCTACCTAAACCATTATTTTCATATTGGTTCCCGAGATGCTGAACAAAAAATAACAACCAATACGCATGGCCTGCAGTCTTTAAAAGTACACCAGACACTATTATATCCACTGGACTCATATGGAGTGAGATGAACAAAGTGCTCATAATAAACAACCAGAAGCAGAACCATTTAATCAAATGTTTACTATAAAATATAACAGTCCCAGATAAAATAACCCAAAACCCTTTTCTTAGTCATCAGAGAAAATTTCAGTGAAGAATTTATACAGTGTGTATGTTCATGGCTAGCAATTTAGTAATAGAGTAGAACATTCACTGAAACAGCAATGTTGAGAACAGATCAAGAATACGAAAGACAAAAATTGTCTATAAACTATATGTGAGGCAGCGTGGTGAAATCAGGGGTTCGTCAAAACAATAGAATCAGATAAACCAGCATTTTTCTCAGTGTTGGCCGTTCCGCCACGTCATGCCACACAATAACAGCACATTCTAAAAACAATTTAGAACAATATATATAATAATCGATAATCTAAGAGAGCAACTGGACACACCCGAAAATTTGATCACTCTCATACTCCCATCCAATCCAAAGACTCTACAGACCAAACAAGCACTTTAAACAAGACAGAGATTAAGAAACTTTTGTCCATCCCACTCACAACAGATAGAATGAATTACAGCAGCAACCAGGTTTAAAGATACTGAATGGTAGCAAAAAGAGAATTAAGATCTTTAAGCTCAAGAGCTACAGCCAGCCACACCTACTTCACCTACAACAGACAAAAAAAATCAGGGGAAAACAAGGATGATTGACCCATCGAGCTGCTCTGAGGTCAATTCATTGACAACATCATTTTCAGGCATCACATCCCTGATCCTAACAAAGGTGGGATCAAGTAGGCTACCTTGGTCAGCCTGGAGCCTGGATAAAAGTGTCACGTAAGACTAGGAGGTACCATGTGTATTTGTACACATTAAAAACATATTTTATTGGTAGATCAAAATTAAAAGTAGGAGAGGGGACAAAGAAAAACTAGAGAAATTGCATGGTGCTGTAAATGGCCATAATGTAATTTCGTAAGCAGGTTACGCCAGACATCAAGGAGGGGAATATTTTTAAAAAGATGAAAGCTTCCTCTGACTGAGCTTTTATAAATTATTTCAGTCACAACCCACATTTCAGATGAACCCCCAAACACACAACATGGCTTCCTTCATGAAATAAACTATGTGAGGAATTCTGTAGAAAGAATCCACTAAGGAAAGATGGACTGAAAATTCAGCAAAATGAACCCAGAACCCAGGGAAAACAACCATTCACGATGCACTTTTTTTCCTTTCAGTATGCTAGGTGAAAAGGGGTGTATACCATGAAAAGACTCAATAAAACATGATTTTGAAACAGGCAGAGATCCTCTTTGGGAAAAACAACTTTCAACCTGAGGGCAATGTATAGGATAGGTCTGCTGACTACTGAAATAGATTCTGTCTGTCAGTGGGCATTGGGTACGTCAACACTACATAATGAGTACATTATTATAATCATTACAGTTTCTTCACTCTTGTTTATAAAAGAAGCACGCCTTGTACAGCACAGTCATAAGATAACATCACGAAAGATTTAGACGCAGAAAGTAGAACTAGATCTAGATCTAGATCTAGACCCTGCTATCATGCCTCTTACATTAACCTATAGTCTATAGATTATATGAAAATAATACACAACGTAAAAATAAAGGCAAAAATAATCAAATACACGGTAGTGTCAGACTGTTCCAAACAAGCGTCAAAGTTCAAAGTGTGTATTGACATTGTTGAATTGGCGATCAAGTGTCACTCTCGCAATATTTTCCTCTAGATCTAAGATCTAGATCTAAGATCTAGAATCTAGATCTAGAATCTATATCAGCTCTTATGTAAATTTAGTGGGCCTAATAGTAAAATGACCAGTTAAAATAACTATACTACCTAGAATCTAGTAGTAGATCTAGACCCTTATCTAGATTCTATAATCTTTTCAAAACTGACGAAGTCAGCTGTGAAGACAGCATCACCACAGTACATGATTAGATC